AGCCAGTGCTCTTATCTACTGAGTCATCTGTCTAGTATGTGTGGTTTTGATTTTTGGGTTTTTTTGTTTTGTTTTGTTTTGTTTTTGAGACAAAAACAAAACATATAGCCTAAACATATAGCGGTCTAAACATATAGCCTCAGCTAGCCTGGTACTTTTTGTGTAGACCATGCTGTGTGGAGAGGTCTGTTTGCCTCTGCCTCCAGAGTGCTAGGATTAAAGGCATATGCTGCTATACCCAGCTTCATTCACCTCTTTTTTGAGGCAGGGTCCCCTGCTAGAGTAGAAGTCACTGAGGAAGATAGATTGGCTGGCCAACAAGCCCTATGCATCTACTAGTGTGGCCTCCCTGGCCCTGGGGGTTGCAAGTGTGTGTTGCCATGCCCAGCATTGTTATGTGGGTCCTGTGAGTTGATGCAGAGCTTCGGGCTTGGAAGGCAAGCCTTTACTGTTTTATTGGTCTTCGGTATGGAATGTAAAGTAACTTTTGTGAGAGGACTCATATTGTCAGTTGCATAGGTTAAATACATTAGCAATTAATAATGAATTGGTATCACATTAAGGAAAGAAACCAAAGCACTTCCTCTTAATGACATTTAATCAAGCATGAGCCCAAGGGAGCTAGAGAGAAGGCTGCATTGCTCCTGCAGAGGACCCAGGTCTGATTCCCAGTGCCCACACAGTGGCTCACATCTGCCTGTAACTCCTGTTCCAGGGGATCTGCTGGGGCAGACAGACAGACATGCAAAGCAGAACACTCATACAATAAAAGATAAAATAAAAGAGGGGCTGGAGAGATGGCTCAGAGGTTAAGAGCACTGGCTGTTCTTCCAAAGGTCCTGAGTTCAATTCCCAGCAACCATGTGGTGATCTGGTGCCCTCTTCTTGCCTGGAGGCACAGAAGCAGGCAGAACACTGTATAAATAAAAAAATAAATATTTTATTTTTAAATTAAAATAATAGATACCAAAAAGTGTGTATATGTGTGTCTGTATGTCTGTCCCCAAAAGGGTTTTGCTGTCTTTTATTGAGCAGTATAGAAAGCATCACATGCAGAAAATCTAAGGGCTACTTTACAGAAACAAACAAAAAAAACTGTAAAGGGCTTTATAAGGGATTAAGTGGTTGACTGCAGCTGACCCAGATGCTAAGCAGTGTTACAGACACTGTTGTTTGTAATCAAGCACTAATCAAACATTGTATTCAGCATTACCCATGAATGTGTTCAGCACTTACAGTAGATAGTCATTTTGTAACATTGCCTTTAACCTCTACATTTGCTGTTCTCAGCAAATGATACGCCTGCATTACTTAAGTCAGGTGCATGCAAGAATTAATAGTTTAAGATTACAGGGTAGCTTAGGTTGTAAGAACTGATTAGTGGGAAGTCCAAAGCAAGTGAGGTTGATTGTTACATTGTTCTCCTGAAGGCAGGTTAAACAAACAGACTGGGTACACAGCGGGATCTCAGTCTAAAGTCTTAAGTGGCCTTGTGGTGTATTATTAACTCCGGCTGTGAGGTCCAGCAAAAGTTCCAGACTTAGAATGTAAGAGATGTTTTCATAGTATTGTATTGCCAGTCAGTATGGATGCTTTGTGCTCACCAGTGAATCAGTAAAGAAAAGCAAAGTTTCTAAGTGAATACCATTCATTGTTGCAGGGGAAAGAATCATCACAGAGTACCAGCTCTTGTTTCCACAAGGAAGGTCTGGTCATGTCATTATAGAACTTGATTTGTTGAAAACATTCCTACAGCTCGACTTTTCAGGGTGAAGACCGTGAGATGTGAAAAGCTTGCTTGTTTTCTGAAGTCTTGAGTAAATATTTTATGAGCTGTGTCAAAGGCAAAGGAGCTTGTCATATGGTAGCACAGTGTGTGCATCTTAGGCTGAGCCGGCAACAGGAAGGCAGCGGCGTCAAGCTGTAGGCCTGGCGGCTCCCGTCCTGGCCACGGCTTCTGCGTTTTCCAAAGGCCACTGGAGTTCAAGCAGAGCGCTGCCAAGGTAGGAAGTGTTTCACAGCAGGGTACGGCTTTTCTCTCCAGGCTGCTTGGATTAATTTGCCACTCAGATTTGTTTAGTTACAAGTCTGTTTATTACCATGCATAATCACCAGACTGGGGCTCTCAGGCACTTCTCTGTGAGGGTTTTGCTCCAGGAAATGACCCTGCCCTGTCAGTGTGTTTCTTAGAGGTGTAGTCTCCACACTAACTACCTTGTGTTAAGGTAATTACTCGGTGAGATGAATCGAATGGGTGTGTGTGAATGATCGCCTTTCCAGCCAGAAGCAAGAGTAGAATTTCTGTTAACCTTAGAGCCATGCCTTATACGGGAGAACTCTCGGGTGGATGGATTGGCTCAGTGTGTGCAGGTCTCTGAGTTTTAGCTATGACCCACGGGGTGATAGGAGGGTGAACTCCTGTGCAGTGATTCTGATGGTCTGCACACACATACACATATAAATAAATATGTAATAAAAGTCTGGATAAACTGGGTATGGAAGCACTTGCCTTTAATAGGTCTGGGAGGTGGTCATCGCAGACACAATCAGATCTCTGAGTTCCAGGACAGCCAGGGCTATACAGAGAAACTCTCTGTATAGAGAACCACCTCTCGCCAACAAAATCTAAACAGAGGACCAGTAACTTCAGGATTAGTGACACACCTGTAATCCCAGCACTTGGGATGCCGACACAGAATGATGAACTCAAGGTCAGCCTAGAGCTGGTGTGGTGGTGCACACCTGTGATCCCAGCACTCAGGAGGCAGAGGCAGGGGGTCTCTGTGAGTTCGAGGCCAGCCTGGTCTACAAAGTGAGTTCCAAGTCAGCCAAGGCTACACAGAGAAACTGTGCATTAAAGAAAGGAAAGAAAGAAAGGAGGAAGGGGGCAAGGGAGGAAAGGAAGGAAAGCTGGGAGTACAACACCAATGTAGAGCACTGCCCTAGCACACACAGGCCCTGTGTCCACCTCCGACTCTGCAGAAGAGAAAAAGAAACCGGAAATAGAATGCCTGCCCGTGTTTACAAGGCCCATGGCCTGATCCCTAACGCCAAGGAAGGGAAAAGCTATGAGAAACTTTTAATTCCATCCTTTCCGATTACTTCTAAATAGTTTTAAATAAAAAATCAGCTTGGACTACACTGTGGGGTTTTGGTTTGGTTTGGTTTTTTGAGACAGGGTTTCTCTGTGTAGCCTTTATTGTCATGGATTTGTTTTGAAGTCACAGAGATTCACCTGCCCCCGCCCCTGCCCCCCCTCCCTCCGCTGGGCTCACAGGTGTGCCTAGCCACGCCTGGCTCATGGACTGTATTGTGAAGACTGTAGTACCTTGAAGTTGGTGCCACGCTTGTCCCATGTTGGGCACATAGACCGTAACCATGAACAACTTCCCTCTGCCCTGGCCAAATTAGAGGCAAGACTAGCAGATTGTACAAACCCAGCTCAGGGGGCGGTGCACACCTGGATCCTAGCTCCCAAGAGGCAGAGACAGGCAGGTCAACGCAGAGTTCCAGACCAGCCAGGATACACAGAGAGACCATCTCTTTTTAAAAAGATAAACCAACATATAAAAATTGTGGAAATAAGTTATTTTTTAAAGTTTTTATTTTTAATTGTATTTATTTCTTTATTTTTACAATTTATTCACTTTGTATCTATCTCAATTGTAGCCCCCTTCCTCATCTCCTCCTGGTCCCACCCACCTTCCCTAGTCTACTGAAAGAGGGAGTCCTCCTCCCCTACTATCTAACCCTAGTCTATCAAGTCTCATCAGGGCTGCATGTATCCTTTTCCTCTGTGGGCTGGCAAGGTTGCCCCACCAGGGGGACATGATCAAAGAACAGGCAACTGAGTTCATGTCAGAGAGAGCCCCTGCTCCCCTTACTAGGGAGCCCTCATGGAGACTGAGCTGCCTATGGGCTACATCTGAGCCTGGGGTTTAGATCCTTTCTGTGCATGGTCCTTGCTTGATGCATCAGTCTCTGCAGGACCCCCTAGGCCCAGATTTGTTGGCTTTGTTGGTCTCCTTGTGGAGCTCCTGTCCCCAGGTTCTTCCTCTATTCCCCCTTCTCCCATAAGACTCCCTACATTCTGCCCAAAGTCTGCTTCAATCCCTTGCTGGGTGGAGTCTTTCAGAGGACATCTGTAGTAGGCTCCCTATCCTGTTCCCCCTCTTCTGCCACTATCCTGCTTGCCTTCTAAATGAGATTTTAAGCATCCTCCCTAGGGTCCTTTAGATCTGTAGATTTTAGTGTGTTTATCCTCTATTATATAGCTAATATCCACTTCAAAATGAGTACATCCCATAGGTGTCTTTCTGGTTCTGGGTTACCTCACTCAGGATGATCTTTCTAGTTCCATCCATTTGCTTATAAATTCATAATTTCCTTGTCTTTAGTAGCTGAATAGTATTCCTTTGTGTAAATGCACCACAATTTCAGTATCCATTCTTCAGTTGAAGGACATCTAGGTTGTTTCCAGATTCTGGCTATTACGAATTAAGCTGCTATGAATATAGTTTAGCAAATGACCTTGTGGTATGGTGGAGCATCTTTCAGGTATATGCCTAGGACTGGTATAGCTGGATCTTGAGATAATGCTATTCCCAATTTTCTGAGAAAGCATCGGATTGCTTTCCAAAGTGGTTGTACAAGTTTGCACCCCTGGAAATAAATAATTTCCAGAAGCACTTGAGTTAGCATAACTAAGACTTTTTTGTGGCTTGCTACTGCCATCTGCTGGTTCTAACCTTGGATCGCTAGTAGCTGGCCTGCAGTATTACATAGAAACAAAAGGGAGTGGGGTCCATTTATTTTATTGAGAATCTTCTGAAGTATTCTTTGTTGAGAATATGATACCAGCGTCCATGTGGCCCGTACATTGTTTCTTAGCAGTATGGTTTTAGTGAACAAATTTGCTATTTCTCCGTTATTAATTGTATGCTCTTTTTGGCGTTTGAGTTTCTCATTTAACCCTTTTTCTTTGTCATTTTATTCCCTAGTTTAATGGACCGAGAAGTGGCATTGCTTGCTGAAATGGACAAAGTGAAGGCTGAAGCAAGTAAGATGGTTGATATTTAATTAACACTGTGATGGGGCCCGGGGCGTGGTGGCACAGGCCTTGATCCTTGATGCTTGGAAGGCAGAGACAGGCTAGCCTTTGTGAGTTTGAGGCCAGCCTAGTCTACATAGTGACTTAAAAACGATCACCAGTACAAATACTAGGTTGCTGCCTCTCAGTGAAAGTTTAGCGTGGACATCTACAGTACGAGTTTATGTACTAAGCACTGAGTCGGTAAAACAAAACATGAGTTTATAAACTTAGTCTTGAGCAGTTGTGCTGTGCTGACATTAATTCTTCATAAAGAGTCTTTAAATTTTTTTCCCCAAACTTTTAGCATTCTGAGTGTAGAATTTAATCTACAAGAGATTGCGTCATGGCATCTGCTGTCATAGCGTCGACCTTAGGAAAAGGAAGCACCCTGCAGGTGCCTGGCCGCCTTCTGCTTTTCAAATAAAGCAAACCACTAGGAGGATCAGAGAAGATCCACGACACTCCTACAGTCTACGTTCCTGTCATTTCCTGTTACGGGTTTCTGTTGTTTTTCCGATTCAGATTGATTCTCTATTCAATGTCTGTGATTGGGGAGTGGGGACAGGGAGCTGAGAATTCAGGAAGCACAAACACTTACTAAATAGATTATAGAGGAATAAAGTGATTTGTGTGGCTTCTAGTGGAAGCAGCAGACACCTGAATGTGTTTGAGTGCAGGTGTGTGGCACAGCTGCGCCAAGGGAGAGCTTTCAGGAATTGGTTCTTTCCTTCCACTGTGGGATTTAGGGATCACGCTCAAGTGGCCAGGTTTTCGTGGTGGCGATTTACCCTCTGAGCTGGTCCAGTGGTGGGCTTGATCTTTATGCGCTGAGCGCCATACTTAGTAGGAAGGCATTTCTTCTCGCCTACCCTCAAACTAGTAAGAAAAGGGATGCTACTACTTTAGGTTGAGGTGGTGACTCACAGGCCATTGTACCTGTGACCACAGCCATAGGACAAGACACCTGAAAACGTTGAGCTGAGGCTAGTTTGCTCCACTTTAGGGAAATGTTGAAACGCAGCAGAGATTTTGTCCCTTATTTCTTGGGAATAGCTTGCATTAAAAATCTCTAAATTTCACATCTATAGCCTGTTCTTGTCCTCTGATTCTTTACAAGATAAAGGTTCAGAGTAGTAAAAAGACATAGTCCTTACTTTTGAGGAAAAGGTGCATTTTAAAAATATATTTATCAGCCAGATATGGAGGTGCACGCCTGTTAGGGAGGCAGAGGCAGGTGGATCTCTGTGAGTTTAAGGCCAGCCTGGCCTACAAAGCGAGCCCAGTACAGCCAAGCTGCACAGAGAAACTCTGTGTCAAAAAAAAAAAAAAAAAAAGTTGTTTTTACGGGTGAAACAACTCATCATCAGTTGAGAACACTGGCTGCTCCTGTGGAGGACCTGAACTCCATCCCCAGCACCCCGTGCCAGCTAAGAACTGTGTGTAACTGCAGTTCCAAGTGATGGGATGTGCTTTCCTGACCTCCATGGGCACCAGGCACTCACAGAGTGAGCAGAGTTACCTCAGGCGAAGCATTCATACACACGCACACATATCACACAAACGTGTGTGTGTGTGTGTGTCTTTTAGGGAGCTAGCAAGATGGCGCAGCCAATAAAGTTCTTGCTGTTCTGACTTGACCGTGTGCATTAGACACCCGTGTGCCCACATGAGCAGCTGGGCGTGATGGCGCACATCACTGAGCAGCACTGGGGAAGAGGAGACAGAGACTGGGTCTGACTGGCCAGCCAGTTGGCAATGCCTGGATCCTGGTGCCCAACCCCGTCTCCAGCAGTAAAGTGGAAAGGGGCTGGAGAGATGAACGTGGGCAAAGTGATTGCCGCCCAAGCAGGAGGCACCGATATGTCGGTACCCACAGAAAAGTCATGTGTGGCTGAGTGGGTCTGTACCTCACTCAGAGCTGGGTGCAGACAAGCAGATGACAGAGGCTCTCTATCCAGCCAGTATAGCCAAAACATGAGTGCCAGGCTTGGTGAAAGACCCTTAAATAATGAGTGGTAAGGAACAATTTAGGACGACACCCGGAGTTCTCCCTGTGTGTCACACATAAATGTGTGTAAAAGAAATTTAAACCTTACTAAAACAAATATTTTCTCTACCTTGAAATCTATAATTTTGCATTAAAAATCCCAGAATGTTGGAGGCTGAGAACTGAGGTTGAGGTGAGTGGATGGTGGGTCGTACCTCGGGAGCCAGGCCAGCAGACCTCTTGTGGTTGTTAAGAAAGTCAGCATCGGCTGGAGAGCTGGCTCGGCACTTGTTGAGTTCCTAGCGCCCATGGGAAGCCTCACAACTGGCTAACTCCAGAGCCAGGGGCGTGATAGCCCTTCTGGTCTCCACAGGCACTAGGCACACATGTGCTCTGTGTGCCTACATGCAGGCACATACGCATGCACATGAAAACAAATCTTTTTTAAAAGAATAAATGAAAGTAAGTGTTATGCTTGGGAGGTCGCTCAGTCAGAAAGCGAGCACGAGCGAGGGCTTGAGTTCAGTCCCTAGAACCCACGTTTAAAACCTGAGGGGTAGTGGCGCGTGCCTGTAGTGCCAGCCCCAGACAGAGTCAGGCAGACCCCGTGGCACACAGTAGCAGCCAGTCTTGCCTACTCGTTGACTTCCAGACCATTAAGAGACCTTCAGGGAAAAAGATGGCTGCTGTCTGAGGAATGACATCCAAGGTGCCCTGTGGCCTCCATATGTGCACTGCTCCTGGCTTTCTTGCGGTTCAGGTTTTAACTTGGCACTTTATTGGCTGAGCTGTCTCGCAGCCCTGGTTGGTATAAAGTTCTGTGTGTGTGTCAGTTGGGTGCTGACTCGGGCTATATGCAGTAGAGTGACCTAAGTGTATCTGTTCGTATTTTCGTGAAGTAAGGAGCCCTGAGAGAGCTAATCCATAGCAGCAGGGCATCACTGACATGACGTCAGGGGCCCAGGCTCCTCTTTCCTTTCCCTTAGCCACCCTTACAGTGTGCTCTGGTCGAAAGGCAACCCTAAGGACTCAGTAAGGAAGGGGCAAGCATTGCGTGGTCCTTTAGACTGCTTCACACGCGCACTTGCCCGTGTGCCCCACGCTGGGAACTCTGGGCCTGTGCCTGTGCTCATCGAGAAAGTAGCACTCATCTGGAGCAAGGTCAGAATTAGGTTTGTGCCTGAGAACATTGCTACTCAACATTTTTATTTTGGTTTAGTTTAATTTGTTTTGATTGACAGGGTCTTGGTGTATAGCTGAGGCCAGCCTAGCACTCAGTGTGTGGCCCAGGCTAGCCGTGCGTGAGGTCACAGTGCTGCCTTAGCTGCCCAAATGCTCAGGTTACAGGTGTGAGTGACCATATCTGGCTTACCATTGGCTTTCTGGAAGGAAAAAAAGGAGAAGGGCTATATTCATTTGAATAACAGACTCTGCCATATTCCTCCACTTTAGCTGCCCAGTGACCCTCTTTATTTCAAAATAAATCCATCTCCTTGGGGCTGGAGAGGTGGCTCAACAGTTAAGAACACTGCCTATTCTTGTAGAAGACCTGGCTCCGATTCCCACCACCCAAATGGCGGCTCACAACTGTCTGTTAACTCCAGTCCCAGGGAATTCAGTGTGTCTTCTACCTCTGAGAGCATGTACGTGATACAGAGACATACATGCATCAAACATGTATTTATGTGTTTATGTGTGTAAAATAAAGTAAGAAGCCAAAGGCCACTTATTAAATAAATGGAATAAATACATCCAGTTTCTTCTCCATGGCAACACCTTCAAAGTCTAATGGTTAGTCCCTTTGTCTGAAAGGGACTAAATAACTAAATAACTAAATAACTAAAGCTCTCGTCAGGCCCAGATATGGCATGTTGTGGTTTGGGTTCATAAACTAAGAGAATATGTCCGTTTCTCTAGCCATAGAAAAAGAAGAGGATAATTATAGTAAGAATTCTCACTTAGAAAAACAGTGATCACTGGGCAGTGGTGGTGCACGCCGTTAACCCCAGCGCTCAGGAGGCAGAGGCAGGCTGATCTCTGGTTCGAGGCCAGCCTGGTCTACAGAGTGAGTTTCAGGACAGCCAGGGCTACACAGAGAAATCCTGTCTCAAAAAAACGAAAAAAAGAGAGAGAGGAAGGAAGGAAGAAAAGAAGGAAGGAAGGACGATCTACAGGACAGAGCTGAGCATAGCAGCTTGTGTGTATAATCTCAGTATGTAGAAGAAGGCTGGGGCAGAGGCTTGGCATGCCGTCCTGGACTACGTAGTGAGTGCAGACAGGCTTGTGCTACAGAATGAGATAGTGTCTCAACACCACCTTGCTGGATAGGAATACCAGTTCTAGCCTGGCGGTGAAGTTTCTTGGGTCATTCATCTGACAGCCCCTAGCCCTGCTTATTAGGAGTTTCTTCTGCCCACTGTCTGTGGGAGGATATTTTTTCAGATATTTACCGTAACCGATAAATATAAACCGATATTTACAGAAACAAGAGTGTAAGGGCTTATATGTCCATCATTAGCAGATGTGCTCAATAATTGGGTACATGTGTAGAGTAGGTGGCTGAGTAAGTCAAGAACAGCAGAATAAAAGTAGTGAAGGTAAAGGAAAGATTGTGTATTTTATGACTCCGTTTGAAGGAGCTGTTTGTTCTCTGAGCAGAGGACAGCAAAATCAGAAGAGGGAGAGATGGATACTTCTACTTTTCATTTTGTACCTGTTTGTTCTAGATGAAATTTGTGTCAAATGTTAAACATATTAAAAACGGGGGGGGGTAGGAAGAGGAGAGAGAAATGTGAAATGACTTTACAAGTCTTTGTGTTTCACAAATGTTTGTCTTTCAACTGCCTTCTAAGCTAAAACTGGGCCTTTGGTATCTCCACTTTGGATGAGTGGGCAGCCAGGCCCTTGCCTGTGTAGGAACACCGGAGGCTCGTCCTCTCGTGTCTCACCTAAGTGCGCTGTAAGCGCCATGCTCCATTTGCCTCCACAGTGGAGATCTTGCTCAGCCGGCAGAAGAAGGCAGAGCTTCTGAAGAAGATGACGGACGTGGCCGTAAGGATGTCGGGGGAGCAGCTGGTTGAACTCCGGGCGGACATCAAGGTCAGGCTTGCTCCTCCTTTCTCCCTCATTGACTCAGGACTGGCTGCCACAGCACATCTGCCGGAGTCACGGCCGCGTGTGATGCACGAAACAGGAGCTTGGCCCCTTCCACACTTTCTCTTTCTTGAAATGGTTCTGCATCTGTCCAGTTGTCCAGGCAGACGATCTCAGGAAACTTGTCGGCTCCGAGTATTTGTCAGGAGAGCCTGCCCATCCTTGGACTACTGCTCAGTCTCACACTGACCTTCTCCTTCCCACTTGCACTGTAGAGCTGAAGCTCCCAGCATGTGCTGCTTAGCCTTCTGTGTGTACTTGAGTCATTCCCTTTGTTCCATCCCCCCGCCGCCCCATGTCTGACTGTCAGACTTCAGCCGCCTGCTCAGGTCCTCTCAAACCTTTACAACAAACACTACACGCCTTAACATAGACTGTCACATTCATGTCACGCCAGCTCCTTTTGTCTTCTTACTCTAGTCACTCTAGCGGGCCATTTGCACAGACACTGTCTGTGCCCTCCTGTAGGAAGGACATGGCACATGCTTTCCATCTGTCCAGAGCGTCCTCTGCTTCCCCTGAACCAGACGTCCGTCCTGACGTCCTGTCACATCCCTGCCCTGGGCTGCTATAGCAGTTATACTTAATGTGGCTAAGCCCTCTTGCCGCCACACTGAACTGAACAAACCAGCTAGTGCCAGCGAGCACAGCGCCTCAGAACAGAACAGGTTCTTCACAGTGTGCTCAGCTCCGGTTGAGACAGAAACGTTAACAGTTCATGCATTCCTGGAGTTTGGCATTCATACCTTTATTGTATTTTAAGTCCTAACTTGCTATGTAGCCCAAACCGGCCTCAATTTGAGATATCTTGTGTGTGCCTCCTGAGTTTGAGGATTACAGTGTGAGCACCAGGCTTGGCATAAATCCCTTTATAACTGTTATATAAACAATGATGTTTTGGGGCCTAGATCTCGAGGGTTGATAGCACTGGTGGCTTTTCCAGAGGACCCAGGCTTCGTTTCTAGCACCCACACGGTGACTCACAACCACAATGCTCTCTTCTGCCTTCACACCACACAGGCAGAACACTCACAGACATAAGACAAAAGTAAATAAACCACGAGTGAGCGAGCAACAGAGAGTGAGAATAGAGTTTAGAGGCTGGCGAGACAGCTCTGTGATTAAGAGCACTTGCTGCTTTGCAAAGGACCCAGGTTCAATTCCCAGCACATTGGGTGCCAGGCACACACGCAGTGCGCATGTATATTTGTAAGCAAATACTTGTTACACATAAAGGAAAAGTAAGTAAGTTGTTTTTAAAAAATTGTAGGGATGGAGAGCTGGCTCAGTGATTAACAGCACTGACTGCTCCTCCAGGGAACCTGGGTTCAGTTCCCAGCAACCACATGGCAGCTCACAACTGTCTGTACCTCCAGTTCTATGGCTTCTGACACCTTCACACAGACACTCATGCAGGTGAAACACCAACAAATATAAAATAAAAATAAATTATAAAGCCTGCTGAGAACCTCTTGTTCCCCTGAGAACTGATTGGGGTAAGACAGCTAAAAAATACAAATTTCAAATTCCTTTTTCCTATTCACTAGTAAGTACATTCCAGAATGTTACAGAACACTTGCCTCATGTTGATGCCAGTCGATCTCATTCAGCTTTGTGGAGAAACCAGAATCCCTTTGTAATTAGATGAGAGTTCTGCCTCCCATGGGCTTCATCTGTTCCTCTTCCTACGAGGCTGAAAGGTTTCTCGAAATACTCCTGCAGGCTGACTGAGGATCTGCTTCTTCCGAGTTTCTAATGTGCTGAAGTGGGTGCTGTGCAATTTCAGCGTCTTATTTCTAGAGCATTGTTCTTCTGTCATTTCTATTATGTCTTTGGCTCAACAAACCCTAGAATTTGTTTCAGAATTAATACGAGACAGATATTCTGTATCTGAGAGTGCCATTACAGGAGGCTTTCGTGCTTTCCTAAGCTGCAGTATATTCAGAATTTTTAGGATGGTAAATCTCAAGGGTAATTTTCTCTCTCGTTTCCCTGTTGGTATCTCTGGATGCCTTCCAAGAATTCTGATGCCTCTAAAGTGCGAGTAGTCTACCCCAGTTAGAATTCTGCTCTGAGGGGTTCAGTTGTTGCAAATTTTATCTCTTAACTTTTCTTTTTCATCTGCTCGTCTACTGTGGCGGGGGGTGACCCAGGCCACCCAGACACTGTTGACTTAATAGGTCCCCCAAGTGCTGCTTCCTTCCTGACATGTTCTCATCCTACAGTTGCCATAGTAGAGTTAGCTGTTGACCCAAGGGGCTGGTTGCTTCTCGGCTCAGTCTGCTTTTAACAGGATTAAATCACTTGCAGCATAAACGTCTCGCTTGCTGAGTCTTTCCACATGAACGATTTCCCATCTCAAGAAATCGTTCCTGTTTCAAAGACTCGGAAATTCTCTTTACAAGGAGAGCACATGGCTTTTCTAAGGAGGTTCCTACCAAAGGACAGCAAACCGATTTACCTCAGCGGGGTCATTGTTGGAGCCATGTTGACTCTGCTGCCTCTGCTCCTGGGTAAAATGGAGCCATGTGGAAAATAGTCCAGTGGGAACATGATAAATTCTTCCTTCCTGTTTCTGTGGGTTGCGCCCATTGGATTGTTGCCATTTCTAAAATTTCATGTAACTGTCAAGCTCATCTTTGGACCCTGGAGAAAATGAGTGTATTTGTCTGATTTCTCAGCATTGGGAATGCAGTGCTCATTTAGCAAACTAAGCAGTGAAAATGAGAAAATTGAAAATTATTCTGTTTCGAACACGTGTGTGCGTGCACAAGTGTGTTTGTGCGCATGTTTTCGGATCTGTGCACAGCGTTTGGCTTACCTGGGAGCTTTTCTCTCTTTTCACCAGCACTTTGTTAGTGAGCGGAAATATGATGAAGATCTCGGGCGAGTAGCGCGTTTCACCTGTGATGTGGAGACCCTGAAGCAGAGCATCGACGCTTTCGGACAAGGTGAGGGTGGGCTGACCTTCCTGCTGCCCGCCGCAGGCCTCTTGTCTCCCTTTTGTGAAGGCCACTGGGATGCACAGGACTCTGGGGACACAAATGCTTTGAACGCTAAAGACTAGCATTTGCCAGCCCTGAGGTGTGGAATACTTTTTGTGCTTTTGGAACCCAGACTGCCTGCAGTTTGCTGAGTGTCCCAGGCTGGCCTTAAACTCCCAGTTCTCTTGCCTCCATGTTCCAGGTGCTGGGAGTATAGCCTGCCCGCTGGCACGCGGCAGCGTGCTCTCATTGTTTTCCACTGGGCCCAGAGGTGTGTGCTGCAGTGGTGTGAAGGGCAGGCGAGGTGACGTGTCAGGCCAAGTGACTTCCTTGCCTCAGCACTGACACAGTGTCCCTGCCCCGCTGGCACATAGGCCTTAGTGACAGCATTGCAGGAGGGAAAGGGCTGCAGCTGGAAGGACTCGCTGCTCTTCCAGAGGACCAGGGTTCAGTTCTAGGAGCCACCCACAGCTCCATACCCAGCGATGCCTCTTCTGGCCTCTGCAGGCACTTGCACACACAGAGACATATACACAAACATAAAGAAAAATAAATCCTGGGCTGGAGAGATGACTTGGTGGTGAAGAGCACTTGTTGCTCTTATAAAGAACCTGGGTTCAGTTCCCAGCACCTCATGGTGGTACACAACCATCCTTAACTCCTGTTCCAAGGGATTCGGGGTCTCCTTTGGACCTTCCTGGGCACCAGGCCTGTACACAGTGCATGTCCACACATTCAGGCTGAGCACTTGATCACCACAAAGTGAAAACTATGCTTTTAAAGTGGGAGAGGATGCAGGGCCTCTGAGGGAGGGTTTGTAATCACACACTGATAATTGATCAGGCTCTGAGCTTGCCCCCTCTTCTTCTCTCAGTGCACATCAGTGTTGAGACTGGGGCTGTCACATGGTAGGAGAGCACTTGCCTGGCCTGTGCCAGGGACCATGGGTTTGCTCCGCAGCACCACAAAACAAGAAAGTGAAGTGTTGGTCCCAGAGCAGCGACTATTAACCTATCAAGTCCAGCTTAGAGCAAGAAGACTTCTGGGGAGAGCATTAAACCATTGGTGTGTGGAACCATTTGAATTGAAAATAATATTTTTCAGTTATATTGAATTTGGGTATATTATATTGAATTCAGGTATATTGAATTTGGGGCTGTTTTTCCAAAATGAAATTTGTAAAGATACATGTTTATTGTAAAGACAACTTGTAAAGACAAGTTCTGTTTATATTTAACTTTGTTATTATTTTTACCTTATATCATTCAATTTAAAAGGGGGGGGTGCCTTTAATTCCAGCACTTGGGAGGCAGAGACAGGAGGATCTCTGTAAGCTCAAGGCCAGCTTGGGCTACATACAGAGACCCTATCTCAAAAAAATAAAAATAAACAACAACAAAAAACAGCCGAGCGTGGTAGTATACATCTTTGATCCCAGTACTTGAGATGCAGAGGCAAGTGGATCTCTGTGAGGTTGAGCCCAGCCTGACCTACAAGACAAGTTTAGGACAGCCAGGGCTAGACCAGGAAACCCTGCCTTGAAAAACAATAAATAGACAGACAGACAGACAGACAGACAGACAGACAGACAGATAGATAGATAGATAGATAGATAGATAGATAGATAGATAGATAAAATGAAGGTTTTAGCGGAGATTTAATAGTTTACTTGTTCCTTTCTTCCTTTCTTCCTTCTTCCTTTCTTTGCTTAGATAAAGGAAATGCCAAGAAGTCATCACTGTGAGGAGTGGGCATAGTCAGACAGTTTGGTTTGAAGCTGTTCTGGGAATCCCTTACAAGCAGTGGGGTTTGGAAGGAAGGGCCTCCTTTTCACCAGTAGCTATTTTCTAGGTTTCCGTTCTGACTGTTACTTGGAGCGTTCTGAGTTTTTTTTGTCGTTAGTGGGGAAGCGTGGCGTGAGGTCAGGAGAACTTTGTGAAGTGGATTCTCTTTCCACCTGTCCGTGGGTTCTGGACATGGCGCTCTGCTGGTCAGGCTTGTGCAGGAAGCCCTTCCTTCACCCACAACATCTTTGCGCCCGCCCTCAGACTGTTCTTTTCCTGAAATTGCTCACCGTGAAATGCCTCGTGTGACCACAGCGGATTCCTTGTGTCTGTTTCAGTGTCCCATCCAAAGAACAGCTATTCAACCAGATCTCGCTGCAGCTCAGTGGTACCTGTGTCCTTGGGTGGCCCAAATGATGGCTCTGCTGCTTCCTCTTCCTCTGGTGCCTCTGCACCCAGCCTTACAGGTGCTAACAAGAGAGGCTGTGCCCCCGGAGAGGCTTCTGCAGCCACGACCAACTCCAGTGAGCGGCCCTGCCAGGCCCGGCGGGAGGTAACCTGGCTTTTATACTGAGCATGTCAGGGCACAGTGACACTCGGTTGTTGGCTTAAGTGCTCATAGCTCGCTGTATTGGCTTTCTCCCTGTATTCCCATTCCAGACCCATTTTTGCACTCATCCAGTCTTCGTTAGTTCCCAAGAGCACGGCTGAGATGGTGTTCTAAACCACCAGCCAACTGAGACTTCCTGCTGCCCCGGACAGCTGCCTTTGGTTTGTTGTGTCTGGTGATCAGTCACACTGGGAGTTGTGCGCCCATCTCAGTAGGCGGCAGTTCAAGTGGTCAGTTCACTGCTGTACATCTGAAAGCTCAACACTTAAGGAAGCCAGTGGCTTGATGGGGGAAGAAAAAGTGAACTGGGGCGGGGCTAGACAGCTGCAGAGAAATCCATCGTCTCTGTTCCTTGGTTTGAAGGAGAAACACAAGAGCAGTCTAAGGCTACTAGCCACTCTTCGGAACTGATAGAGCACTGGCGTCAGAGGACAAAAAGCCAGTCCTCTCGGCCTCCCGGCTGTAATGTGAAAGGTGTGCCAGCTGCCGCAGCAGCGCGGCATAAACCGCAGCCCCTAGCCACAGCTCGGCAGACGGCCTGCACTCTTCGTGTCGGGCCAAGTGCACAGGGCTCTCCGGCCGGCTTAGGATCTGCTTGTGCAGACATGGGCCACAGTACGCGTCTGATTTCCAGCTTTTAACGTTCCTCTGTGTTCACTCTCTCCCTGTGCACATCTAAAGAGATGGAAACCCCTCTTCAGTGGAAAAGACCTGGGCGGGAGAGCCAGGGAAAGATTAATTACGATACAGTGACTAGGTTGGCTTGACTGGCCGGTAGCCTTGCGTCCCGAGCATGATGGCCATGCTGCCAGAATGTGGCTATAAACCAACTGGGAACAAACCAGGCACTGTCAGGACAGAGTGCCACGAACACTGTGCTTTTTGTTTTTTGTTTTTATCTGTAGGTGTTTTCAGGCAACAGGAGAGGAGGACAAGGCTACAGGCCACAAAGCCAAAAGACCACTGACCCCACAAGCCAAGGGCGGCACGACAGTGTGGGTCGCTACAGAAACAGCTCACGGTACTCCTCTGGGTCCAGGCCTCAGAACACTCCACCTCAGGCCCCAGGAAACACTAGCGAATGGAGCCAGGCTTACTCTGCAGGGACCAATGGAACTGGAGCCAGCATGGCGCCTAGCCCACCCAAACCTTCGTTCAAAAGGGGGCTCCCCCAGCGCAAACCAAGGACCTCTCAGGCTGAAGCTGTGAACTCCTGAGGTGTTCCAGTGGGGCTCTCTCCTGTCCCATCCAGCGCAATCTAATAACTGGACTTTAGGAAAGGTATACTTAGATTTAATAACAAAAAGAAATTTATGCATATCACTTTGGGCCATCCTAAATATTTTTGGTTTCTTCTCTCATTATTTTTTGAGGGAAAGCTTTCCTAGTGGTATGGACTGACTCTGGTTGGTTGTTTTCACCAGGAACCAGAGCGACTATTGCCAGTTTTCCCAAGTGTAAGCGACCTTCTTCCCAATGCACAGTCTTCCAGCTGCCCGAAGAGGCCTTACTCAGCACACCCGCCCCCCCCCCCCCCCCCCCCCCGTCCCCGGTCCCCGTCCCCATCCCCCCCTGCAGCGCTAGTCTCTGTCCCAGCCGAAGCAGAGGCCCGAGGTGCCTGCCAGCTTCCCTCTAGATGACAGTTCGAGTAGGGCTGGCAATGTGAGGATTTTACACAGTGCCAGCTTAGCCAGAAAAGGGAAATAGATGTTGATTATGAACAAGGGAGAACACTAGAACGTGTTTGAGAGCCTGCCTCTACTTGGAACGAGCCTGAGATTTGACCCTTGCATTGGGGTCTTAGTTCCGTGCTTGGCGCCAAACCTTAACCTGCGATTTTTTTCCAAATGCCCAAAGCCTGTTTCCTTTTTTAGGCTGCAACCCGGTCTAAGGAACTCTATGGGAAAGTAGGATTTTAAGCTTTTTAAAAGAAAAAAAAAATGTTTTTCTTTGTTCCAGTGTTTGGAGATTTTGTTGTTCTTTCTCTTTCCTGAATCCTGTTATATGAACCAAATTTATAGTAAGATAATTAGTGTTGCTCTACGGTGTTACTCCTCGCTTGTTGCTCTCATCTTCATAGGTGAATCAATAAAGCAGCTGCGTCAATGTTCCTAGGTTTCACAGCACCAAGTGACTCCTTCTCTCCTTCTCTTCGGGCCTCATGGGTAGAAGTCACTTGGACAGCTTGTTCGGTGCTCAAATGAGGGTGTCTCATTCCCAACTCATTTGTCCGTTGCTGCCTAGTTTTAGAACCAAATTAAAATGTGAAAGCCAAGATGAGCAAATGCAGCTGTTCCTCGTGGGAAAGGCTCCTTAAAGGGAGTGGTGACTTAGCGGATGAGAAACAGCTGCCAACTGCTCTCCCAGGCGGCCGAAGGTCAAGTTGCTGCCCCTCTCCCCATTTCCCTGTCCCTTGACAGAGGCAGTGAATGTAACCATTTAATTGAGCTCCTCATGCAGCAGGTGGCACTGGTGCCAGACACATCCTCCTCCCCACCCCAGTATCTGTGATGTGATAACAGCAGTGCTTTCTTTCCTGCAGTATCTTTTCTCCCAAGCCCGGGATTCTGCTGCCTCAGGGCCTCTTGGCTCTCTGTGGCGGCAGAGTTCAGGATGGCATGAGAAGGAGATACTGAGACTAATACTGACTTGTAGCCAAGAAAACAGCAGTCACGTACCGGGGGAGCCATTTTCCAAGGGGCTGACCACTGTGCACCTCTGGGGCTCGGGAGACAGTTTGCCGTTCCTGATTAATTGGTTTGTACTTGACAGGAACCCAGAGACTAAAGCGACCCCAAGGACTAAGTGATCACCCCTCCCTTATTTTTTTTTTCTTTTTTATAAAAAGAGATCGTATTGGCTGGGCGCAGTGACACATGCCTTTGATCCCAGCTCTCGGGGGAGGCAGAGGCAGGCGGATCTCTGAGTTTGAGGCCAGCCTGGTCTACAGAGTGAGCTCTGGGACAGCTGGGACTACACAGAGAAATTGTGTCCTGAAAATCTGAGAAAGAGAGGGAGAAATCATATTGTTTGTTTGGGTCCGTACTTTTTAGGCACACTGAAATTTTACCTTTTGTTTTGTTTGTTTTTTAACTTAGGGGTTAAACCCAAGAACACTCACGTAGGCAAGTTTAGAAATATACCTTCTGGACCCTTTTACATTTTTGTTTTGGGACAGGGCCCTTCTAAGTCGCCCTGGCAGGCCTTGACCCAGGGATGTGCACTCCTCAGCCTCCTGAGCAGCTGCGATCATAGACGTGTGTCTCTGTGCCTAGTAATAATCTTGCCTTTTGAGAACTATGAGGGAGCAGGAGGGATGGCTCAGGTGGTAAAGTGTTTGCTCCCAAAGCAGGAGGACCTGAGTTGGGGTCCCCGGCCAGGCACTGCAGTATGTGCTGGGATCCCAGAGCTGGGGAGGCAATGACAGATGGATCCCAGGGGCTTCCTGGCCCAGGATTCTAGCCAGCCAGCAGCCCAGGTTCAGCGGGAGACCCTGTCTCAGAAGGCAAGGTGAAGGGGGCTGGAGAGATGGCTCAGCGGGTAGGAGCGCTTGCTGTTCCTTAGGGGACCAGGGTTTCATTCCCAGCACCCATGCTGGATGGTTCACGGCACCTACAACTTCAGCTCCGGAGCTGCCATCCTCTTCCGGCTCACATGTGGCAGGCACGGGTGTGTATACAACACGTGCGCGCACACACAGAGAAAGAGAGAAATACATAATAAAAATACAACCTTAAAAAGACAGAGAAAGAGAGAAATACATAATAAAAATACAACCTTAAAAAGAGAAAGAGAGAAATACATAATAAAAATACAACCTTAAAAAGACAGAGAAAGAGAGAAATACATAATAAAAATACAACCTTAAAAAGAAAAAGCAAGGTGGAAACTGATAACTCGTGACATTAACCTTTGACCTCTGTGCACATGCACCTGCATGGTCCACACACACTATATACATATACATACATGTTTTATGTGTGTTTGTGCATGTATGTGTTGTGTCTGAGGAGGCCAGAGCTCAGCCTCAGGTGTTGGTTCTCACACACAGACCAAAACCTATTTTTGTTTTTTAAATTTTTTTCAGATTTAATTGTGTGTGTGTGTGTGTGTGTGTGTGTGTGTGTGTGTGTGTGTTGTGTATGCATGCTCGTGTGTGGTGTGTGTGTGTTTGTGCAAACGTGCATGCCGGTGTTGCAGAGGGCATCAGACGTCACCCCACCTGGAGCTGGGGTTACAGGAGTTGTGAGTTACCCAGTAAGAGTACTAGAAAATGCACCCCTAAGCTCTGAGCCATCTCAGCAGTCCCTGCTACACCCCCACCTTTTGGGTCTTTTTAGAGGGTCTTTAGCTGGCCTGGAGCTCATAGGCTAGGATGGCTGGTCAGTGAGGACCAGGAATCCTCTGATCTTACCTTCCCAGTGCTGGGATTTCAAGTCTGAGGTGCTATGCATGGATTTTGTTGTTGTTGTTGTTTTGGTTTTTTTTGGTTTGGTTTGGCTTTGGTTTTTGAGACAGGGTTCCTGGACTCACTTTGTAGACCAGGCTGTCCTCGTCCTCCCAGAGATCCGCCTGCCCCTGCCTCCTGAGTGCTGGGATCACAGGTGTGGGCCACTGCACCCAGTTTATGCCTGAATTTTTCACTAGAGTTCTGGGGATGGAATTCAAGTCCATGTCCTTAATGACAGCGCTATCTCCTGAACCATCCTAGAACTTTTTGTTTGTTTGGTTGGTTGGTTGGTTGGTTGGTTGGTTTCGTTTTTCTAGATAGGGTTTCTCTTATAGCCCTGGCTGTCCTGGAACTCTCTCTGTAGACCTGGCTGGCCTCCAACTCAAAGAGATTTGCCTGCCTCTTCGTCCCGAGTGCTGGGATTAAAGGGTGTGCCACCAGCCAGCCATTCTAAACTCTTTAAAAGAACAAACATGGAAATAACCTTTTTTCTTCCTTTTATATAACTGGTAATTATGTTATGCGTACATTTACACAATTTATTCTTTCTGATTACCTTTGCTTTTTAACTATTAATTTTAAGAAAAAGCTAGATATGTTGGTGTGCACCTTTAATCCCACCACTGGGAGCAGATGGATCTCTTTTGAGTTCAAGGCCATAGTGAGTTCTAGGACGGCCAGGGCTACTTAGTGAGACCCTGCCCCAAGAAACCGAAACCAAAAAGAAGAAAAAGAACACTAAGGCAAGCCTGGTAGCACATCGCTCTGATGCCAGTACTTAGAGGAGGAGCAGAAGTGCAAGGCTGTCCTCAGCTGCAGTGAGGTGCCCCCAGGCCACAGGGGGCCTTACAGTTTCCACCCACCACTGAAAAGACCACCTCAAGACCAGCCTGGGCATTGTAATGAGACCTGTCTCAAAAACCACAAATATTTTTTTAAATGAAAATATTTGGTGTTTGGATTTTTTTTTGGGGGGGGGTAGATTTGTGTGTATACACACACCTGTCCAGGCCCGGGGTCAGCCTCAGGTGTAACCCCTCAGTGGGCACTCATCTTGGTTTTGGGCACAAGGTCTCGGTATAACTGAACTCTGAATGGAACTCATTATGTAAATCCAGGCTTTGAACTCAGAGATGTGCCTGCCTCTGCCTCCTGAGTGTTGGGAATAAAAGCGTGTTCCTCCACCCAGCCTGTTTTAGTTATCTTTATCCCTCCTTATCGTACAAGCATTCACACGTCAGTGGTGGGGGCGTACACCTGGAACACGTCAGCGTGTTCTATTACTGATAGCGACATCAGCTGGGCACAGCAGCACACGCCCATTCCTAACACTTGGAAGACTAAAGCAAGCTTGATTCAGGTGTGACGTCAGCAAGGCCCTCATAGCAGTAAGTTGTCTCAAAAAAAAAAAAAAAGTATCAAGAACTACATGATCCCACAATTCTATTTCTAGTTACTTGTCCTGCAGCTGTATCCTCACAAGCGGGGAAATGATTTCTGTATCAGTGAGTATTCGTTGTAGCAATGCTCATAAATAGAAAGCAGTCTACACAAACCATCAAAAGGTTCACCAGGAACCGCTTAACCTCACTGCATCAGATTCATACAGCAGAGGACTGTGAAGCCATGGGAGAACAGGAAGTTTAGGTGGCTCATGAACACTCGAGTGTGTGAGGTCCCGGGCTTGCCTTGTTTGAGCAGAGAAGCTCTGGAGACGGGTGCCCTGGACACCTCAGAATGCCTCCACGGAAGGGACCGACAACCCAGACTAGCTTAATGCGCATCGCATTTCTGAATTGTCTAGGCTTTTCTTTAAACAAAACAAATGCTTTGCAGGGGTGGGGTGGCAGCTTAGGCAGCCTTACCTTGAAAGAACAAGGACCTGAGTTTACCCTCCAAACCCCATTGCCAGGTGTGAGAGAGCTGAGGTGGAGACACAGGAGACCCCTGTGTCTCACCAGCCAGCCAGCTTCGCCTGCTTGGCAAGTTCCAGGCCAGTGAGAGACCCTGTCTCGTAAGCCCAGGCACCTGAGGTTGACCTCTGGCCGCCACGTGTACACGTGCACTCTTGCCAAAACA